AACTCAAGTTGTTCTCCCATTAAACAAAGCTTTGACTCCTAGTTAAATTTGGCAGCCGTTTGCGATGTCTAGGCATTAACGTTTAGGGACAGCACTGCCTACCTCCTCGCAGGGAGGGGGCTGAACAAGGTTTCATAAACAAACAACGTGATCACGTCATTTGGAAGGACACTGTGATTTCCAGATGCAAAACCCACGGTTAAAGCAGCAAAATAAATCATATTTTAGACGAATCGCTAAGCATCCGATGGGAAAGGAGAACGGAATCAAAGATTCGAAAACTGGTGCGCCACAAGGTGAACATCGCCGCCCTCAGCGAAACCGGTTTCTCGAAACAGGGTCAGATGAAGGCGGTGGATGCTAGTTACGCATTCTTTTTGAGAAGGGACTGTGCACTTGCTCCTACCCTTTTCATTCTCATGTTCTCTGCTATGCTTGCGGACGACTATAATGATGGGCGCTTTGTAATCAACACCGCCGACCGTTTGCCGGATCTGCTGGTGTTGCAGACAAAGCGGTTATACCGGAGTTGCTAAATGGAAACTCCGGAAGCGAATGACCGAATATACAGCAGCAGCAGGAGCAGCAGCGTGAGGGAATAACACTAGCTGTCTGGTCGTGGTCCACTTGAAAGGACCCGGCTAAAACTTCATGTCTGACTAGACCTAAATCCTGGCAAGATGGCGCATCTGATTGGTCCGTTGCAAAGTCGATAGTTTCTCATTCTTCGGCGATATTGAATAGCTGGATTTCGGCCGTTAGAACGCCCAGAAATTCAGCTTTTATCAAATTACTACTGTATAATGCCAAATAAAAGTGGATGCCCGGTGGAAAACCATGTTTGTGATTTAGACGTTATAGTTTCGGAAATCGTTATTTTTTTCGAAATGTGTATGCACGATCTTTGGGTACAAAACCAAAAGCTGCGCATCGGATTCATGTTTGGACTCATGGTACATAGCAGGCGAACAGGATTAACATTGATTGATCATGGTAAAGTGTCTATTACTGTTGTCGGTGACAAGGTCTACGTTCATGTCGTCATACGGTCGTTTGTTAGCTGGATTTCAATTGAAACGCATGCTTTTATATTCCTATGATCTTTAGTTGCTATATATTTTCGGGTTTTGCATAACAAAGGTCCGCGCTCTGAACTAAAGTGAGGCCCGCTTCTTCTATGTAGACTAGCAGGTGCACACGTTGGTTGAACAATAACATGGCCTACTGAGTGACGCCAGATGATTACTGAAATAAACTAAAGACATAATAGCAAGGTGGATATCAGTTAATAATAAACATTTTGCGTAGGTTTGACATTTCAGTGCGTATTCTTTCAATTATTACCGTAATAGAGTACATTTGAACGAGGCGTTTGTCGGGCAGCTATTGAAACAAATGGAAATCTGTTCCTTCATACATAATTAATTTTAAATGCTTAGCGATTTGCCACAATGGTACACCGAAGGAGACTGTTGGCACCTGTGGGATCCATGAAATGGAGCATTTTACATGACTTAGATTAAAATCGAGGGTTTGGTTTTCACGCGTTTTCGTGGAAAGGAAGATGTTAGAACATTTCATGGAATGTTTATATCGGCACACATAAATGTCCGTGCTCCGTCCCAGGAAAGGTCTAAACTCACAATAAACCATAGGTAAGGAAAATAGAACAATCGTTTTGAAAACCTCAATATATAGAACTTTTAGCGCACATTTCACTGACACATACAGTTGGATTTATTTAAGTATCGCGAGTCAATTGAAATAAACGCGCGCTATTTTAGCGAGTGTGGTTTTGCCGGGGACCGGAAAAACGCATTCCGAAGACAGCACTATATCGTGACCGAAATATCGCGAGTTTATGTTGCGTGGTGACCAATGCTATAATTCCATTTAAGTAACTCTTCCTAGTCGAAGACGACGAGTTGACTTTCTGCTAACATTTCATGAGGTCGGATGCTAAGACTTCATTTCAAACAGTACATAGAATAAAAGTGACGCCGATACAGGATAATGACTTCCCCTGATACTGTTTTTATTGGCACGACACCGGACCAAGCAGTCTCTGACAAATCAAGAAAAGGAGATGATTATATGCACTTAAACCGGTAGCCAATGTTAGCATACATCCGAGGGGCGTTGATGTCCCAGGGGTTATGAGCGCATCCCCCTCAATAGCACGAAATGCCATCCTGCTCCTGCACGTCCAACAACTACTTTGTCAATTCCTTGATAACGTGCAAACATTTTGCTTCTTTTTGACGTGGTAAGAACCGAAAAAGGCAGGTTTGTTTAAAAGAGGAAGAACAACGGGTGAGCGGGCAAAAGGAGACAGGAGGTTTTGTGCCGTGGTTTGAGTGTGTGTCTTCTCTCTGGCGTTTCAGGTGAGGACAGCGGACTAGATCAAGACACCGTCCAAGACCCTGTGGATATTTTACCTCCAAAACCATCTTTCTGACCAGCAAGCGTCCTCTCTTCCCCTTCTACCCCCTGAGACTTGCCGCGCCGCTGACTCTCCTTGTTCTCCCCTTTTCATACCCGCCCCTCCCAATTTATTGTTTACCTGTTGTGCTTTCTTTGACTGCTCGGATCATCCCTGGTGCTTTGAGATATTGTCTGATCGCCCGATGCCAAAATCGATGTCTAACTATTCAGGAAAGGGGAAAGCGACCCCGTTCCCATCTCATTCAATCAAGCGCGCCGACGTTAGTCAGGAACTAGTCTCCCAGCTGGAACCCCAGGACGGTCCGCCTACTACAATGTACTACCCGAACGTATCTGCAAATTTTAATCGGTTGTAGCGACGAAACATTTTGAAAAAGTATGGGAACGCTTGACAAACACGCATGCCCTCTGCAACTTGCGATTCAACATGAGCAAAAGTAAAACTACAAACACTGTTAAGGGCCTCACTGAAGACGAGAGTCTGTACAGATGTCATTCATGTCATTTATGCGCCCAGAGGATGTTCGCCTCCTCAGACTTTTCGAGTGATTAAGCTTCAGCTCATCCATCGAATACGGCTAACCACTAAGTGAGACCAGCGACACTCGTCAAACTATAATCTCAATCACCGACTCAGGAGCTTGAGATTGCTTACTCGCCTGGAGTGGCTAGAATTCGTGCTAAGGGCGACGCCAATTCAGAACAGAACCATATCAGCCTGTGACGACCTGACCGACAGGACGACCAAGAGACACGTCACCTCAATCCAGACATGCGCCAGTACACAAAATAGTTCTGACCTCTTTACGTGTACCCGGAAACTCCAGACAAACCAGCACTACGCCACCTGTCCTGCATTCTCATGTTATGTCAATCAAATCTAATGCTGTCTTCAGCAGTAAATCAATTTCGTTTTTAACTTACGACGCCTAGCGCTTTCGAAGATCTCTGGTGATAAAAGTTGTGTTATGCCGAGGGAAGAAAACACCGTCTACCCGTGGATGACGTGCTTTCTACATGTACATGAATAAGCCCTATAACCCATGCTGGCGTCTGCAGGTAAACCCACGGCGTTCTGCGCTACATGCCGCTGAGACTTGAAAGACATGCCTCAGAGACTCAAAAGGAAAGCGACGACGATTGGTGTCTAGTTTCCATAATTAACAAACATCCGATATTAGTATTAAGGTCGACTGGTAATTGTAAGTAGAAACTAATTTGTGACGCATGTGCGACTGAAATTAACGTTTACCACTTGATGCCCATACGCTATATTTTATTCAAACTTTTTCCAGTTAATGATGCTGGTCCTTTTCCACTTTACGGCTAACAGATCGATTCAATGTTAGAAAAACTGCCGGCGATGTTAGGTCGTCCGCCAGCAACATAACGCCTCCATTGGTGCTGCAGCGCTGCTCAACAGGGTCACATGGTTAGGAGGGATCGAATGATAATCTGATTAAGCATGTTAGTTGAATACGGCGTGGGATAGAAGTCCAAACAAAATGCTTAAATTTTACTCTATTCATTTCGATGCACGAGGCCTAGCGTTTTCCTATCGAAATGACATCTTATCGTTTCGTTCATAACATTCTTATTTCTGTGGTTCAGTGACGATTGAAATGGGTTACTTCATGCTGGTGTTGATCAGCACTAATATTTTCCGATGGATTTGGCATCGCATTATGCATAATTCCTTTTGTTTGAGATAAGAAAGTCGCTATGACCTTGCTTGCGTGGGGATCCTGATTTGATGTTGGTATTAATATTTGTCTAGGCGTCACCCAGGGATTTGCTTTTATTTTAATGATAACGAATGCACTTTCGTCAGCGGTCACGATCCGATGCAAAAACGATTGTCTCGAAAAGAATACTTTACGCGTTGTTTTACCCATTTGTCTTTGGGCTGTAGACGATTTATGTCGCAGCAAGATCCCCTCGTTTTAGTCCCAATGCTAATGCGCGGAGGCCTCTGCGGACAGTCGATCTACTAACTAATATGTCTTCAAAAATGCCTTCAAACATCTGGACCTTAAAGATTCAATAAAACTAAAATTGGCAAAATTGTAGAAGTTCGCTTTAATAACCCAGTCCGGCTCCAGACCCTTCCGTCGTGCAATATGATTAGACAATTCAGTTAATTGACAAAATAAGCGAAGAAACGGAGAAAGACCTACTGCCACAGTTAGAAACGTATGGAGTCGTTTATCGGATCAGGTGCAGTTGCGGACAAAGCAACTACGTCAGCGAAACCGGAAGATAGCTCCGAATGTGAATGGCCGAACACGTCGCAGCGGTGCGGAGAAATGACGCCAATTCTCATGTTGCGGCTCATTCGACGACATCCGGCCACACATTCAAATTCGAGGAGGCCGAAAATTTCGCAAGAGGTGACCAGGGAGATTCCTCGGTGGTTGTCGCAGAGTCCCTTTCAACTTTTTAATGCCGGATGACTTTATATCCATATGATCATGTGGAATTCTCCTCAACGCCACGTTTCCTGAAAGAGTGACGTGAGGTGTTCCATAATTTGAAGGCTACCGTGCTTACAGATCTTAGCATGGATCGCGTCTGATAGAGGCGCTTTCCCGATTGAAACCTGGTGCACGCACCGATGGTTTCGTAAAGAGAGAGAGACAGAGAGAGCGCGAGGTCGAGGTCGACGTTGGTCTCCATTTTTGGCTGACGGGCGGTGGCAGCATCGGAGATGTTAGAGGACGGTTGAGGTCGCCTCTGATGTGTCCAGCGCATCGCTGCAGAATTTGGGTCTTCTCAGCGAGGAGGGTATTTTCCTCGGCAGTGAGAAGTGGAATTTTCTCTTTGTCTATGGGACCTTCGATAGCCTTAATCGTGACGAAGAAGTCTTCCAGTTGTTTAAGTTGACGCACCCTTGGATCTCTTCGGCTTTGTGAATCGTCCATACTTCCCGCATCTCCCAAAGTCGCTGTTGCACATACTGTCGCCTACGATGATAGCCTGTTTTGTTTTCTGTCAGTAGTGCTGTTGACTTAGGTTTTGTGCAGACGGTTATTCTCGATGCGTAGATTGCTGATAGCGGCGTCGTTGTTATCGAACCAGTCCTGATGTTGGCAACGTGCACGAGCGTGGGGTCCGCTGAGTGGACCGTAACCCCCAATTGACACTATAGGTTCTCCACGGTGGCTGTTGCATCCGCACTGCGGGAGCTGCGACTCGAAAGATGACCAAGATTCGGGCTAGTTCATTGCGAAATGGAGATAGTGAGCAGACAAAGTCAACAAAACAATAATCAACTTGCGTGAGGTAGTTTACATTGATGTCCCTTAAGAAGCTGTAGGCGGATTCTAATATTTGAGATGAGGAGGCGATGATCAGTCCACACGTCGACATCCGAGTTCCCCTCTGTCTCAAATACGTCTCTTCGGTCTCAGTGTCAAAAGAGGGTATATTCCAGTGTCGCGACCGAGTTCGCATCCATGTGGCATTTCCTCACGTCGGAAGCGGAAGTGTTTGGTCAGGATGAGGCGTATTCTGCCCATGTTCGTACAAGGAGTGCAGAAGTGCTCTGTTGTGGGTACACTTGATGGTCGTAGTAAGTCGCTCACATGCGTGCAGGTGTAGACAACGCCTAGCGTCTATCTATTGGCACCCAACCCCCATCCGCAAATCACAGAGGCTCTTCCCAGCGGCCTTACCACGACATATGACCCGACCGGCGGCCTTAACCAGGTGAGGGTATCTGTGTGCGCATACCCGCACACGTTACTCGACTCCACTCCCACAATCGCTGGCAGGACGGTTGAGCAGCTGTATCTCCGAAATGACCATCTGTCTACAATCCCACAGGAGGCCACACACACTAAGCTCCTTTTCTCTACCCTTCTGCTTGATCCTCTCTCTATTTTGTCTACACTGTTATCCCATGGTTGAAAGTCTCAAGGGCCACGGAGTCGCCACCTCCAAGGTAAGGTTTCATCTGCAACCCCACAGGGGGTCGCAAGGAAAGGACCTCCCAGTCACTCAGCATTCATTTTCCGCCCTTCTTTTTGCCCCTCTATTTACTCTACTCTCTTATCTTATGGTCGAACGTCTCAAGGGTCACGCCATCGCTACCTCCAAGACAAGTCTTCATGTGCAACCACGCAGGGGGGGCACAGTGCAAGGACCTCTATATAGGAACGAATATTTCTTCGCTGTCTTTGCTTGTGCCTGTTATGGCTTGTTTGAATTTGTCTGTTCGCTTGGGTTTCTTAAATATTGTTATGAATAAATGGTTGTGCTCACAGTTTATATTTCGTAACCGGTTAGCTTGGAGAGGCACAGGAATGCTCTGCTTCCCGTCTACCTACCATTTCCCTATCCCCCTCCCCAGTCGCAAATCCTATGACGAGGGCGGCAGCGATCACGTAGGCTGCCGAGGCTCACTCGAGTCGTTGTCCCATAGTGGAGTCCGGCGGACGTCGTGGATGTCTTAGCAGTCCCATTTAGAGACAGAACTGCTTATCCCCGCGAGAGAAACGAAACTAGAAATGGTGCTTTAAGCAAATAGCAGGACCACTTGCTGTGCGCGTTGACCGTGGCTCACAGACACAAAACACACGGTCGAAACAACTGAATAGGGGGCAACACTCTCTGTCTTCCTCCTTCCCCTTCCTGTTGCCCTAACTTACAGGTTTGTAGGGTGGGGTGGCTCACTCTTGTATACAAGAATGTTCGCTCCTTTTTAAGTAATCGGGGCATCAACCGACCCGAACGCAGGGCATCGCCAGTGGCTCGAGAGCTGGCGCGCTACAAGGTGGATATAGCTGCATTTAGCTAGATACGCTTTTACGATCAAGGCCGACTGGAGGAGGTGGGGGCTGGCTATACCTTCCTTTGAAGAGGCCGCCCTAGGCCAGACGTCATGGGATGACTGCCCGGTCAGCTGCAGGGAATTAACAACCGCTTTATGAGACTCTGCCTGCCTATCTGAAGAGTCCTATTTGCCACAATCGCCAGTGTCAACGCTCCCCCGACGAACACTACCGACAGTGCAAGGAACAAATTCTATGAGGGACTACACGCGCTTCTGGCGACTGTGCCGATGGCGGATACGTTTATTTCCCTTCCACGCCCCCGTCAGCGCAGACAATGCTGCCTAGAGAGAAGTGCTGGGTCCCCATGGTCTCAACTGCTACGGCAGCAATGCACTGTGCTCTATGGACATCTATATTACACCCGGACATATGTAAGAATTTCTAACTGAGAACGCAATTCAGAACCGCACTAGACCTTTCATAAGTTGTGAAACTGCTTATATTGACTCATATGAAGTATCCGGTTTCCTGACAAAACAATATCATATAAATCGGGCTGTCCATGGACGCAATTCCCGGAGAGATTTCATTGCACTTGTTAAGATTGCACGAATAGCGGTATATTCAGACAGAACAGGACTGAACAACCACTTATTCCGTATGCGCACTGAACTAAGAATTCATTCAAAAATATATTAGTGACTTCGTGCAAAAGAAGTCGTTGGAAGTCGCAAGAGTGCTCAGTTTAATATTTATATATAATATGGTGCTCTTGAGACTTCGCGATAGGCGGCACCTGAGAAACTTGGACAAGCCTATTGAGACGCTTCCACAAATCCGGCTACTGATTCCCTGTATCAAGAAGACGCTGTTATGGTTGTTTCTACAGCATCTTTACTTGGGCAATTTGCCATTTTGTATTCCAAATGGATGATATTTATTGAGAGGTCAACATATAAAAAACACTCGTCATCGAACACTGGAGAAATCCTTAAATGACATCAATAATCGCCGTAATTTCCAGTCAATGCAAAATCGCAAGAGCGGATGGGGCTATTGTCTGGTCAATTTTACCGCTTAAGGACCCTTTAACGTGCGGACTGTTAAAGTAATTGTTTCGCAGTTTCACATCGTTGACCACTGATTCGGGAACATCTGTTTTTTGTCACCGTAACTGCTGGAGATACGCAAAGGGACAAGTACTCCGCCAGGTGATATTGAGGTATAGTTTCACATTGCATGCATCTTTACTTGTGTATCCTAGTCTCCGACAGGCGAGATCGTGCATCCCCTCCCATAAGCCAGTGAAACGGAGGATGCCCTCGAAGAAGTTCTGGTCCATCTGCTTCTGAAGTTCCGCCCTAGGATATACTTCATGTTTGCGGCGCAATATACGAGAAAGTGAATGAGAATATCAGTAGGTTCACCGAGTACGGGACCTATAACCAAGGCAGTTCTAAACGTTTGGAGTCGCCAGTCTTACGACGCCATGGACCGAAATTCTGGGATCGGTATGCGGATGATACCTTTGCCGATATTGAACAATACCATGTGTCAACACTGAACGAATCTCTCAATAAGGTGTTCTAACGTATGCATTTTCCTATGAATGCTAATAAAATAACCTGTACCCTTTCCTGACGTCCCAGCCTGCTGTAAAAACTGTGAAATTCTAGAGACCGAAGTGCTCAGGAAGGTGATAACAGCCTTGATAGTTCTGAACTTCAATAGCAACCACTTAATAAGCAGTTAACGTACTGGTGTAACTGAACTATAACGACAAGTTGAGATAAGGTTGTTGTATTTAAATATCTTACATGGGTGTCCGCAGAAAATGGTTACTCGTGAAAACAAATAAACCTTTGCGGAAACGAGGCAAATGACGAAACTGCGCAGACAATGCGAAAAGGCAATATCATTGCTCGGGCTACACAGACATTTGTAATTCCAGTTCAGTTTAATGATTTGGCCGAGCTAGAGTGGGCCAGTGTACGAAAAGGACTGCCTATGTTATAGCAACATGGGAAAATATACATAAAAATAATCAAAATCCGTACAACAGTTTGGTTTTCTGTATGTTTTATTTCGTCTAATTCTTACATGTAATTACGTGAGATAGAAAAACGCAAACTGCGATTGTTCACTCAGGAACACAGAATGACTGAGTGTCGAGCTGGTGAGTCGTCACAAGTGACTGTCAATAAAGTCGAAAGAGATCAGATTTTAAATTCCTCAGATAACCGGAAAAAAGACACAAAACGGGATGTCTATCACGGCTTAACATTCTGGTAAGTATACTGTAAAGAAGCAGGTTTATTTTTCGTCTTCATGTATAGTGCTATGTAGACACATGTTTACCGTGGCTAGTCGAAATTCAAGTAGCAGTTCAGAAGAAGATGCGATCTCCGGAAGAAGAAATCAGTAGGCTTGACATATTTACAATTCTAGGTGCATAGAACGCAGTTGCCCTGCGACCACGTGTCCTCAAGAATGACAGTGTTTGAATTCATTTCAGAGATTTGTATTTTATGCGGTAAACGCATGTAAGTACGTATTTGAATCTCTGCTGGCATGTTATTTTAACCTTAAATGTATACGACAGCCTCTCCGCGTGGTCAATAATGTTGCAATGAAAAACGCATCAGAAAAGTCTGTGACGAAATACCATGGCGTTTCTTAATTAAATGGGGACCAAAGAACGATGACTCAAACGGCTCGTGGTCATTCAGATGCTTACGGGAATTTTGGTCTCGTTCCAGCAGGATCGCATAAAATGAGGCAGGAAATGAGAGCTAGCGTCACATCTAGTACTCCCTGCTACTTCCGTTGCTGCCTGTGCTGTCATTCACTTTCAGAGTGATCTTTTACCTTTTCGAACCTAGCTGCTTTGCCCACAACTGCATTAGATCTGGCCAAACTGTCTGTTGGTTTCCGCTGTGGCAATAGTTCTTTCAGCCTCGTGACATGCTGTCTTATGGTTGCGCAGTCTTTGTACAACTCCGACACCGAGTAGTTCAAAGAGTCAACTAACAGCTTGCGAACCGTTATTCACGTACGAAAGCGCTTGCCTTAATTTCTTGTGTCGCAATCGTCGCCTTCTTAAAAATTTTGCTTTTTAAACTTCTATAACCTTTATGTCATACGAA